TTTTTTTTTTTTGCCAAATAATATTAATAATACAAATTTTAGCATATTACAAATTTAGCGGCTGGACTCCTAGAAGATCATGAGGATCTAATCATAAAGCTCTTTACAATGCTTTTTAGTATCGAGTATAATATAATATAAATACGTAATATTATATTGAAGTTATAAAAATTCGTAAAATAACAAAAACAATATTATAAAGTTTAACAAAACAGTAATAAAAAGCCAGAAAAAACAAACATAAAATCTATTAAATACATAAGTTTGCAAAGAACTCATAACAACAATAAAGTCTAATATATCAACAATAAAGTCTAATATATCAGCAATAATGATAAAAACTCAAAAATAGATAAAGATGTTTTCAATTGAAAAGATAATTTCTTTAATTTTGGTTTTGAATGAAGAGCAGTTTAATTTGATTGAAAAGTCAAAATAAATAGGTAAAACTATTTTGTTCCAAAGTAGAGGTCCACTATAGGACATACTAAATTCGTCGTATTTAGTTTTGCAAAAGGGAGCATTAAGATTATTGTTAATTCGTAAATTATATTTGTTTTTCGGTTTTAAAGAATAAAGATATTGAAATACCTGTGGAGATTTTTTTTTACACTTGAACATAAAGCATAAAATATTAAAAAAATTAAGTTGATAAACATTTAAAGTTTTCATATCTTTAAAAAGTGGCGCAGAGTGTGTAAGACGATTTTTAAAATTAATTGTGCGAGCTGCGTGTTTCTGATGATGAAGAGTACAATGCATAAAGAATACCGATGCATTTGGAAACTCTAGAAGAGATAATGTTAATGTGATGTTTCCCAGTTAAATTTTCATCAATATAGATTACTTGAAATTTTTTTACTTTTTTTCTTTTTATCATTACATTGTCAATATATAGTTCAGGTAACAAATGTGGTAATCTATGTTTTTTATAGAGTGGATAAAAAGGTGTCCATTTAGTTTTTGTAGTGTTAAGAGATGACCTATTTATTTTGAAACAATCAGAAACTTTTTTTAATTCATTTTTCATGTTGTTGAAAAGAATATTAATATTTTCATGACATAGAAATAAATTTGTGTTGTCTGCAAAGATTATTTTTGTTAGGCTTGAAGTTTTATGAAGATCATTTAGATATATTATAAAGAGAAGAGGTCCAAGTATGGAGCTTTGTAGAACACTAGAAGTTATATTCATTAACATTTGAGACGAGGATTCTTTATTATAAACATATTGCTTACGATTTGTAAGATATATCTTACAAATCGTAAGCAATATGTTTATAATAAAGAATCCTCGTCTCAAATGTTAATGAATATAACTTCTGGTGTTCTATGAGATTTTTTACAAAATTCTGAAATGTCGCGCGTAATTTAGAGAATAGCGTGTTCTGTTGAATTGTTTTTTTTTAAACCAAATTGGTTTTCGTATAAAATTTTATTATTAATTAGATGGTCGTAAATTCAATTGAACATTATTTTTTCTAGTATTTTTGAAAAAACTGAAAGAACTGAAATAAGACGATAATTATTTATGTTTGTATGATCTCCTGTCTTGTAGACAGGAAATACTTTAGCTATTTTTAGACAATCTAGAAACATTCCTTGACTGATGGATGCTCTAAAGATTTTGAAAGTAATGTGTTTTATAACATCACAAAAGTCTATTATAATGTTCACATTAATATCATCATACCCAGTTGTTTTATTTCTTTTTAATGAACTAAAGGCAATTTCAAATTTATTATAAGTTAGCTCAGTAAAGTGCAAATTTGATGAAGTTGATGTCTGGAATTCAGCTGATTTATCGTCGATATACGGAATACTATTTGCTAGTTTAATTGCAATTGTTGTAAAAAATTTGTCAAATTCAGCTGCAATATAGTTTGAGTCGTTAATTAGTTTGTTTTCAATTTTTATTTCATGTGGCAGAGAATTTGTATTTTTTTAAGTTTTCCTGTAATTTCTTTCATTACTTTCCAGATTTGTTTCGAATTATTTTTATGTTTATTGATCAAGTAGTAGTATTTTTTTATTTGCATTTTTGCGAAGTTTTTCAAATAAGTTTTTATAGGTGATATAGTTATTTTTATGTTTTACTGATTTTGATTTTAAATATTTAATATATAGCTTTTGTTTTATTTTCGAGGATTTTTTAAGACCTTTTGTAATCCAGGGACATGATATGTCTTTTGTTTTTACAACTATTTCACACATAGGAAAATTTGTATCATAGACTTTATAAAATGTTTTTAAAAAGTGTTGTAAATTGTGTTTATATTATTATTAAAGTTTAAATGTTCCCAATTTATTAGCAACAAATGTTTTTTGAAGGAGTTTAAATTATTGTTGTTGAACAACCTTTTTTTTATGGTGACACTTTTTTGCATTTCTTTTTTAAAGTCTAGATTTATTAAAAAAATATATAGGAAAATGATCAGATACATCTGTTTTAATTATTCCTTTTTTAAGCGATAAATTAAAAAAGTCAGTGGTTAAGATATTGTCAATTAAAGTGGATAAGTAATTTGTAATTCTTGTTGGTCGATTTATTATTGGTATTGTTCCTGTTTCAAATAAATTGTTCTAAATTTTTCTTGATTTTTGTAATAATCAAAACAATCTAAATTAAAATCGCCAATCAAGTAGTTTTTTTTTATTTTCGAGATTAGTTTTTTCTAGAATTTGCTTTTGTAAAAAATTGTTGAGGTCTTCAGTTCTTCCAGTTGGAGGCCTATAACACCAGTTTATTAGCAGGTTTTTGATTTTTTGTTAATAATTTCAATAGTTAAAATGTCTTTATTTTCATCATTAACACTCATATCGCGTCTAACATTATACAAAAGACTATTTCTAACATAAAAATGTACTTCTCCTCCACGCTTATTTATATTTCGCTCTAAGGTAATTGCATTAAAACCTGGGAATTGGAGGTTTGAATTATTCTCAAAATCCTCGTTAGAAGACCATGTTTCAGTTACGCAAATTAAATTAAAAGAATTATTAGTTTCGCAAATGACATTTAAAAAATTTTCAAAATTTTTTTTAAACTTTTTATATAAATATGAACAACGTTCAATTAACTATTAATGTTATCAAATTTTAGAAAATATTTAACTTCATTTGGATAAAAATATTTGCATTCAAATTCTGATGTATTAATTTTGTTAAAATAGTTTAAATCAGGATCAGACTCTTCGTTAAAATTTAAAACGTTTGTTTGAAAAAAATTAAATATTTTTTCAAAGTCATTAGAATTATTTGAATCCATATTAAAGATTAATAAATAATATACTATATGAATATATAAATAGTTAATTTAAATATTACGTATATAAAGTTTGTTATAAATAACTTTAGCAACCTTTAGAACGTAACTCTTTTGCTTCGGCGAAAAGCTTTTTCCTGACTTCTAACGTCCGTTCGCTAAAATATTCGTTTATGTAGATTTTTTGGATTCAAAGTTTCAGATTGATGTAATTTTCCAATATCGTGCTTCTGTCTTTGTATATTAAGAATTTGACTATTATAGGCCTGTTTCTGGGTTTATCTGATTCTTTTCTTTTTACTCGGTGGCCTCTCTCTATATTTACATTATACTTGGACTTTTTTCTCGCTTTCTTCCCATGATTCATTATCACAGTCTTCGAAACCGTTATTTGGAAGATTATTTCTTTGACTGCGATCTTCTAATTCAGCCAATTTATTAATAATAATACCATCTTCTTCTGATTTTTTCTTTTCATTAATGACACTTGTTGTACTTATTTGAAATTTAAGATTTTATTTGTTAACAAATACAACTCTTCTTTCTTTCATAAGACTTTTTTCTGACTGGCCTTCCAAACTTTGTCAATTATTTTGGTTATGTAAATTTTTATATATTTTTTTAAATTTTTTATGTATTTATACATTTTATATATCTTTATAACAGTTTTATAACCATTTTTTAATATTTTCATGCATATCGACAGTAGTTTATACCTTAGATAACGCTGGTATTTTCACGCAATCCAAAAATCTGTCAAACTACGCTTTAGCTAGGTTGGCATTATCAGGATCCTTTCTAACCGTGTTAAACCAAAATATTGTTACAATTACTAAATGGCTTTTGTGCGATTGATTGCCATGAGTAATTATATTAAAGCATCTTTTAATGTAGAAATTTTACCAAAATTGAGCCTTTTATAAAACATTCTTTCATAAAGTTGATTTTACCAATCTTGCCTAATAAAAATAATTAGTGATGATAATTGAATCATATCTCTTAAAACACAACATGTGAAATAGTATCCCAGCTAACACAAAACGTTCAAGAACATTCGAACGTTCGAGTACGTTCTATGAACGTTCATAGAACGTTCTTGAACATTTGCAACATTTGTTGAACGTTTTGTGTTAGCTGGGATAATAATACTTTAGAATTTGTGGCGCAAAACCAGGTGGTCATTACCGCCTTACTACTAAAAAAATTGACTTAAACTAATCTGAATTATTCCATTATAGAAGGAAATTGATGTTCAGCTTTTTATAAAATACTTTGAAATGTTGTGGGAAAACTCGTAAAGAAATTAAATCTAGTATTAAAATTGTTTTATTGTCATAGACCAATATTAAAAAAAGGAACATATTTAGTTGAACTAATTCAGAAACAAAGATCCTTTTCAATTATTTATGTCTATAAATATGGTATAAGCGCGCTCTAAATAGTATTTTAGTATTAACACTGTTGTTAGCGCAATTTTAATGCAGCCGCGGTGTAGTGGTTAAATTTTACGCTTCAGACCTTGGTCCGTGGTTCAAATTTAATTCTGGTCGCTAAGAAAAGAGGCATGAAATTCTTAAAGGTCATAGGTCCTTTAAGAAGTTCACGCTCTTTCTTTATATAACTTTAAATAAAAAACTTATTCGGCAACCTATAAGGTAAAAGCTTACTTTTATATAGAAAAAAATCCGATTCCTATGGTATTTACGTTTGAGCGGGATTTATTTTAAAATCAAAAATAAACTTCGTCTTCCTAGTAACGGAGTTGTTTACATTCTTCTAAATTTCTTTAATTTCTAAAATATTATAATACTAATAAGTTAAAGTACTACACTATGTTCTGGCAGCAAATTATCAATTACAAAAAAAAATTAAACTGAAACTATATTTTTTGAAAATAAAAATTTTCTTGCTGGTGAATAAATTATCAAATGTGGAACCTAAACTGTTTAAACTTATAACTGACGAATTTTATTTACTCTGTAATAAAAAATCGTAATTTCAAGGTATAAGAAACCTTTAATTGTATAGATTTTTCAAAGTTTATGCTTATTATACTGAAAATTAATACCAATTAGTAATTAGTAATAAGCATGTAATCGAATTACATGCTTGTTAAAAACAGAGTGCTTTTATTATTTAAGTTTAAGTTATTTAAGTTATTATTATTATTTAAGTTTAAGTTATTTTATTATTTAAATTTAAGTTTATTAGTATAACAATGTTAAAAAAGCACACGCAATTAGATATTAGCTAACAATTCTAAGATATGTTGTGTTTATAAATACGTGGAATTTTTTAATTTAAACATAATTATGAGATCGATTTCAGAATTGAATAGTATAATTAATAATTTTGAGTCTAACTTAAAGTCAACTTAGAGTCAACTTAGAGTCAACTTAGAGTCTTAAAAATCTTGTTTTCTTGACCATTTCCATTTGTAAACCATATGCAATATATGTTTACAAATGTAAATGGTCAAATATATGATTTTCAAGTTTTTTAAAATTAAAATAAATAAGCAATATTAATTTTATTTAGGAATGGGAAATTCCCAGAGTCAGACAAAGGAAGAAAAGCTTGCTGCTGAAATTGCTGCAAAGGTATTTGTAATGTTACTAATGCATTTATTTTGTTATTCTATAAAATTATTCGTCTATGCATCTTGAGGAAATGGTAATACAGTTAATCCTATAAACACATGAACATCTATTAAATGTTTAAATAACATTTATTTAAAATGTTTAGTTTCAGTCAATTTTCCATTTAGAATGAAATCTAGAATAATATTTATATTAAATGTCCATTATAGCGCATAATGTCCATTATGCGTCAAGACTCAAACATATTTTTTAACTTATTATGTAACATTTTTTTCACAAATATTGATTCAAACTTATTTTTGATATTTTAAATGTTTAGTAAATTTATAATAGTGTTTAGATTCAAATGCTACTAAATAAAATGTTTAAATTTAAATCGATATTTAACGTTTTGAAATAGTCTAATTATTAATATTATTAGGATACTAATATGGTTTCTTTATTTATTTATTAGACTTATTATAGATCTTTTATATATTATAATACTATTAATATGCACTAAAATTATTATAAGATTTAGTTATATATTACTTTAATTACTATAATATGTTAATAAAATATTACTATGCTATTATCTAACATGTTTAATTAAAACCTTTGTTTAATAATTAACTAATTTAATGTTTTCAGTGATGTACAGTAAAAAATGCCACCAGATTACTTTTGTCCTGACCCATAAAATATGGGTCTTGGTAAGTCTATTTAACAGCGACCATATCTATACTTATTAACTTCTTTAAATCTTTAACAAAGATGACAGTGGGGTAATATTTTTCCCAGTGTTTTTTTAAATTTAAAGCTATAATAAAATGTAACTCTCTCATTAAGATAAGATTAAAGAGCAAAAGGACATAGAAACAAGTCATGAAACCTAGTTATGTCAAATATGTTCTATCTGTTTTATATTCTTATAGAAACTTTTCTGTAACAAATCTCTTTGCTGTTTTTAATACTAATTTTGGCAATGAATTTTTACGTGAAAAACAAAAAGCATTTTTCTTTAGATAAAATAAAAAATGAATACATTTTTTTAAAAATAAAATTATTACAAAAAATTATTATACTTGATGTGAGTCATAGTAACATCGTTCCACAACTCACTATATCTAAACTTGTTTTTAATTTGGTCTCTTTACTTTAATAAATTTTAGTTAACGGCAGAGAATTGATTTAATATTCTTTGCTTTTGGTCAACAATACTAATTTACTTCAAAATTTTTTATAGATTATTATTTTTAAGTCCTCTCATTAAGACTTATTTAAAAAGCGAGAAACACAGAAAAAAAGTCAAAAAAGTTAGTTCTATTTTTTAGACATTTCTTATAGAAACTTTTCTGCAAATATTTCTTGCAAGTTCTTACAATTAAACTGCTTTTAATACTAGTTTTTTCAAATTCTTAAATTATTAATTAAATTATTAAACTATTATTTGTACTAAATCTCTGTGCAAAAACATACTTAATGGGAATGGAACTATCTATATCTGCAATTGCTAAGTGATAAAAGTATAAATGTTTTCCATTCACATATAAAAATATAGCAGAATTATAAAAAAAAAACAAATAAAAGATAGCTGCTATATCCATACAAAAAGTATTTCAAAGAGAACAAATATAAAAATTTATGTGAAAAGCAAATAAAATATTTTTCTTGTGATAAAATAAAGATAAAAATTTATTTAAAAAAAAAAAAAAAATACAAAAAAAAATATTTAACATAAAAAATATCAAAAGTACTTATAAAAAGCAACTTAAATAAAATTGTTTCATTATTAAACAGTTCCAAGTAAATGTTATAAACTATAGCAAAACTTCGTTTTAGATTTTAGAAAATGATCAACATTCAGAACATTACTTCAATTCTGCTATGAAGGAACTTTCAAAAATAAGTCAAAAGAGACAGAATTTGACCTAAAAATGAAATAACTATTATTGAAAACACTTATTACTCATTAATGAGTTATGAATTCTATTTATTTATTTAAAAATATCTTAAAATTGTGAATAAGTAAATAAAAAATAAGAAGCTTACTTTGAGCTAGTAAGTGACCAGGGCCCTGGCTCCGTCCCCAGCTGAAAATGAGTCTTTTTGCAAACCTGGCCCCGGCAAAATTATAAGATTTAGCAGGAGTTGACAGCCAGGGCTAGAAAAAAATTTATAATACTTAATATGTTATATTTTATGCTTACGTTTACTATTTATTAAATATGGCATACATTTATATATTTTTAAATTCTTATTTACTTTCAAAAAACTTGTAAGCAACCACAATTAAGTTACGAGTTACTTTAAAATAGAGAATAAATTCTAGAAAACGAACAACTGAAAACTTAAAAAGTTGTAAGTTGTATAAAAAAGACAAAACATGAAGTTGGGTAAGAGTTATAAGGTTTTTTTAAATTCAAGGAAAAAAACTGGGTTAATAAAATTTTTATAGCATGAAGGGAGAGATACAGTAAAAGGATGCAACTTGTTAAATACAAAGCCAAGCAAGAATGAGTTTTGTTTTATCATTTTTGAGATGATAGCTTGTTTGAGCATTGACCATTATGGTATTTGTAGAAAAAAGAAAGAAATTCATCTTTACAACAATGAGAGAGTGGCTCAAGCTTGGCAGATAAAGCAGGTTTAATTACATTTACAATGTGCTTTGTCTTTGTCTGAGAGCAAGAGGGTTGTTATTTTCCAATATAAGAATGCCAACAATATTTTTTTTGCAGTAAATAATGAGTTTTGTTGTTTAACAATAATTGTGGGTTTTAAGTGCAGAATTTAAATCCATAAGCCACTGCAAGTGTTAGGCTTTTACAGAAGAGAGACCAAATTTAAGATTTAAAATTTAATTGCTTGCTCTAAGCAATTAAAAAGTGAAGTTTTTTTGTCAAGACAAGAGTATAAAGTTGAGTAATCAGCAAATAAAGCCATTTTAGATTTCACGAAGATTGCTATTGTAGATAAGAAACAATACAGGAGTAAAGATAGAATCTTGTGGTAACCTTAAAATTACTTGAAATAAAGAAGAGGGTAGGCCTTTAAAATAACTTTACTACTGCAGTTAGAAAGAAATAGCTTAATTACCTCAATAACTTTAAATAAAGAAACTAATAACAGACTGAAGACTAATTTTTGGAGAGGTCAAAGTGTTTTCTAGAGTTTTGAAAAATTGGAACCACTTATTTATCACTTTTTAAAAGTTTAGCAAAATTTGAAGAGAATTCTGAAGAACACTTTTTAAGTTTATGATAGAAATCTTGTCTGGAGCACAAATTGTAGAAGTGTTTAATTGAGAATTAACTTTTGCATTAGAAGCCAAAGTGATTTTAATGTTTAACAATGGGTTAATCTATTTATCTGTTAGGAAGAATATGGCCATTATATTCAAAAGTCAAAATAGAGTAAGATTTCTATGCCTTGTTCTGGGGAGAAGTAAAAAGATCAGACCCATAAATTATAGATTAAATGTTAGACTTACTATACTTAATGACACTGTTGAAGACTAAAATTCTTTAGAACCTAACATCTGATATAAGATACAAGATTTAGTAAACTGGGAATAACAGCTTAACATCAAACAGGACTTTTTTACATCTGCTTCTTGCAATAATAAAAAGACATTTGTTCTTAAGAGAGATTTAAAAAAAAAAAAAAGATTTATGTTTAATAATGCAACTGCTCAAGATGGTGAAAAATGTGGAGTAAAATAAAGCTTGACTTAAAATGGAAGAGAAAGAATAAAAGCTTTCAAACTTTTATTCCTGAAAGAATAAACAGAAGGTAGTACAAAGTACATAATTTTTTCATCAGTTTTGAAAGTGTATGAAATAAAAATCCTTATATATCATCTTCAAACAAAGCATAGGTTCTAGCTAAATTTTGCTCTAAGCAAGATCTCCACCACATACTTAGCAGTACCACTCTCAACTTGTTTTTTTTGTGCAGTGGCCTTGTTTGTCAAGGTTTGTGTTTTGGGGTTGAAGCCACAACTAAAGTAGCCTTCTTGACTGTAGTGGCTGTCATGGCCTTGGAAGGAAGGGGGTTTGTTAAAATTAGAAAATAAATTTAAAAAAATAATATAAAGCAAGAATTCCTGACAGAATGAGGAGGGAGGAAATTTATCAAAAAACTACAAAAATTATACATGTGCATATTTCATGTTAATATAATTTTATTACATGGTTTGTTTGGTATAAAGGCTAGTTTGTATCCTTGCACAAAGAGATTTTAAGATTTTATTTAATTGTAGTTAAAATAAATATATGGTTAGGGTCAGGGTAGCAAGATTGAATTATGATAATATGACTGTATTATTTAGGAATTTTTTTATTTAGGAAACGTTGGTTGAATGTCCAATTCTAGTGGATTTTGGTCACGGAACAATACGACATCGTCATGTCGAGGCATCATTAGCATTGCAAAGTGAGGAAAGTCATAACAAGAAAATAAAATTGGGTTATTTTTACCATCCAAGGTTGTCTGATTTTAGTGAAGGTAAACTGTATACCTTGTAGTTCTTAACTGTATTTTTAAGTTTGTTTTTATTCGTTTTTTTTTAACCTTATGGTTTCATTAGGTTGTGTTTTGCTTTTATTTAAAAAAAAAACTTTAATGTAGATGCAAGTTACACAGGATCCGAAATGAATCGACTAAAATATGTATTTAAAGGTCCTTCAAAAGATAAAGACCAACACCTTTACTATATCTATGGAACTAAAATTTCAGATAAAGATTATAGTCTTATTAATAATGGCTATAAACCCAAGGGTATAGGTTTTGATTGGCCGGAAACATATCGCCATGCCAATCACAGTTATTATGATGCAAAATTTATTAATGAAGGTATTTAGTTTGTTTTGTTTTTTTAGTTTGAGTTGCACATTTTTACACATGTGGTTAGGTAATTTTCCACAATGTCAAATTGTTATTTATATATGACATTATGGAAGGAATGAAAAATGATTGTTAAAACACATTGCTATATAAATATACAGTCTTGGGCAATATTAAATAAAATTGTTGATAAAATCGAAATTAAAACAATAAAAACACAATTATTTACATCAGTACATAACTGCAATAAACATAACGTGTTATTTCTGGTGTTCTTTATAATGTTATTTCTGGTGTTCTTTTTATAATCTGAATAGACATTAGATTTTGTATCTGAAACTGATTGTGTAATAAAATAAAAAAAGGTTGTGTAATAAAAAAAAAATTATTGTGTAATATAGAACAAATGATTGTGCAATAATAATCCAAAATAGCCATTTTGCCTCCAGACATGACGGCAAACATCAGCATTTCTTGTGGCAGTCGCACCTACATTGCTGTAATTAAAGTATGCAATAAAGCAAAAAAGCAGAAATAATCACCTTAGCATGTTTTCCTCTAGGTTTTTATTCAATTTTGGATGTCAATGTTCCAATAACTTCTATCATAGTAAAATTTAACTGATGGAACACTAAAAACCTTTGCGCATTTTCTAATTCAATTGTTGTGAGATGTAAGTAATTCAATTGTTGTGAGATGTAAGTAATTCAATTGTTGTGAGATGTAAGTAATTCAATTGTTGTGAGATGTAAGTAATTCAATTGTTTTGAGATGTAAGTAATTCAATTGTTGTGAGATGCAAGTAATTCAATTGTTGTGAGATGTAAGTAATTCAATTGTTGTGAGAAATTTCACATTTCAGAAATTTCACATAAAGAGATACAGCATATAGAGTCACAAATCTATAACTTACATCTCACAACAATTCTATTTGAAAATCAGCAAATGCTTTCAGTATTCCATCAGTTAAATTTCATTATGATATACAGTAAAGTTAGTGGTGCAATCTTGGAGATATCTTCTCCATTGTAATTTGTATTTTTGATTTGTAAAGTCAAGCCTTGATGCCACTAGTTGCGTTTTACCTGATATACCCGTCAAACAGGTTGATCCATTGCTCGACATTCGTATCACTCCAGCTTCTGTATCTAAAGTGATTTCCCGCTTAGACTCTTCTACAGCTTGCGGCCCGGACAACATACCTGTTATAGTCTTGCAGAAGTGTTCTCCTGTCGTCTATCTTTTCAAAACTATTCAACAAGTGCTTATCAGAGTCTTGTTTTCCAGCCTGCTGGAAAGCAGCATCTGTTATCCCTATTTTTAAAAATTCTGGAGAGCGATCTGACTCATCTAACTACTGTCCCATTAGTCTTCTTCCTATTATAAGCAAGGTTTTTGAATCTTTAATTAACAAACACTTAATCTCTCATCTCAAATCTCATAACCTACTTTCTGATCATCAGTATGGATTTCGATCTTCTCGTTCTACGGCTGATTTGCTATCAGTAATAACCGATAGGTTTTATCGCGCATTAGATAAAGGTGGAGAGGTTAAGGCCATTGCTCTTGATATTTCTAAAGCGTTTGATAAAGTTTGGCATGCTGGTCTCCTCAATAAGCTTTCTTCCTATGGTAAATCTGGAAACATCTTCAAGATTATTGAATCCTTCCTTTCCAATCAGAGTATAAAAGTTGTCCTTGATGGACAACACTCTTCTTCTTATTCTGTAACCTCAGGGGTTCCCCAAGGTTCAATCCTTGGCCCTATACTCTTTTTAATTTACATTAAGGATCTTCCAGATATTCTCACATCTAAGGTGGCATTGTTCGCTGATGATACTACCATTTATTCTTGTCACGATAAGAAGCCAACTCCCTCTGATTGCTTGCAGGGGGCATCTGAGCTTGAAAAGGATCTCACTTCTGCTACAGCATGGGGCTCACAGTGGCTGGTGAACTTTAATACAGATAAAACTCAATTTTTTTTGGCCAATCGTTATCGCAATAATTTAGACCTTCCTATATTTATGAACGGTTATGTACTCGATGAGTCTCCTACCCTTCATCTTCTAGGATTAACTCTTACTTCTGATCTTTCTTGGAAACCTTATATCAAATCCATTGCAAAATTAGCATCTGCTAAAGTTGCTTCTCTTTATCGAGCTTGTCACTTTCTTACTCTGGATTCTATTCTCTATCTCTATAAATCTCAAATCCGGCCTTGTATGGAATACTGTTGCCATATCTGGGGCGGATCTTCTAATGATGCTCTTTCTCTTTTAGAAGGTGCAAAAACGCATTGTAAACATAGTTGGACCTGCTCTTGCAGCCAACCTTCAACCTCTGTCACATCGTCGTAATGTTGCTTCTCTTTCTCTTTTCTACAATTGCTTTAATGGGCACTGCTCTAAAGAGCTAGCGTCTCTTGTGCTATCTACTAAAATTCATTCTCGTGTTACTCGTCATTCAATTAAGTCTCATCCTTTTTCTGTTACTGTTCCTATGTGCTTCAAAAACTCTTATTTGTCTAGTTTTTTTCCTCGAACATCAGTTCTTTGGAATTCGCTTACTTCATCTTGCTTTCCTGATTCATATAATTTGCAATATTTTAATTCGTCTGTCAATCGTTATCTTGCTCTACAATCTTCATCTTTTCTCTTCCAGTAACTTCCAACACTAATTAGTGGTTGCTTGCAACCTTGTTGGAAGCGAAGATAATTAAAAAAAAAAAAAAAGGCCAAATGATTTTAAAAATATTGGTGTTTGTAGTAGTGATCAATTAATATAGACAACCAAAAGCTTTGATTTTCAGTACTGTATGCTTGGATTAGGTTTTTTGAATTATCTTTTTATATTTTATACATTTCACATTAAAATATGATGAGTTATTTGCGGGAATGACAAAATAGAATATGATATCAGTAAGTAAATTCAATCAGAATTTTTTTAAAGACATTTTCTTCAGACAACCTTGGAACTAAATGTGCAAATACCAATGTTGGGAATATTGAATACCAATGTTTATACTGACGTTTGCTAGACGTTTGCTAGACCAAATTTTGCTAGACGTTTGCTAGACCAAATCGCTAGACCAAATGACGTTTGCTAGACCAATGTTTATACTGACGTTTTTTTAGACGTTTGCAAGACCAAAATTACTTAAATTAATACAACATAGTAAATATACTAGAAATAAGCAAGCATCTTTAAGAATACATAGTATAAAACTTTTGCAATGAAGTCATTTTACTAGTGCTTTATACAATATACTACATTGATTAAGCATTTTCATAATCACAATTTTTATGTTTTTTAGTAGAAAAAGGAAGAAGAAGTGTGATAAAAAGGAGATTTTTTTGCCATAATAAATATCTTTTGCACATAGATACAACTATCTGTAATATGTAATATTTTATTATTTTTTGAATTATTTTATCTAGAAAATGAGTCACAATTTCCTCTTAATGTTAAAGATGATGGCATTATTGACGAAGACCTTGAAATAGTAGATTTTCAAAAGGATGTTATTTTGTAAGTTTGTTTGTACAGAGCTTATAAAATTAATTAAAGTCTGAGGGTTAGAGTCTGAGGGTTTTTCTTTCATTGACTTCTTATAGCACATTTTTTTAACTTTGTTCTACTTTTTTCTTTTTTTCATTCTTTTAATTTATTTATTTTTTTTGTTACCAATTTTTTTTTAATTGTTATTATTGAAATTAGAATGAGAGTTCTTACAACAGAAAATGTAAGTGGAATTATTGAAAAAATTTCTTTACACAAGTTAATTCCGTCCGCCATGATTCATATTATGTTGGCTAACAAAGAGTTAAAGTAAGAATTTTGAATTTTATTCAATAGTTTATTAATATTAACTTAAAATTCCACTCTAATGCAATCCAAGTGTAACTATATGCCAATGCGATATTTTTAAATATTTAAAATGCAATTATTCGCTTTATTTAAAAGTAAAAGATTGTCACTCAAAGACGACCCATCAACCATGATCAACCATTACCACAGATTAATAATTTTTCCATTAATTGATACATACCTTAAAAAAATTAAAATCTATTATTCTTTTTGTATATACTGTAGCAATTAATTAAAATGTTACTATGGCTCTTTTTATGACGATTTTTGTGAGGTTTCGTCTTTAATTGAAAACCTTTTCCTTTTAGGTATGATAATTATTTTGTAAAACCTTTTGAATATTATTTGTTGTGACTGAAGTTATAACTTATCTGAAGCAAAAAATTAAGTATTCAGCGACGCTTCTAATGATCAAATTAGCTGCTATTCAGCGACGCTTCTAATGATTAAATTAGCTGCTATTCATTTTTTGGGAGGTAAAAAGTCAAACAATAATAAGAGAAAAAATTGTTGCTTAATAGTTGTTACGAATCTAATGATATCGAATCTATTTAATGATATCGAATCTATCTACAAATCTATCTAATAATATCGAATCTATCTAATGATATCGAATCTATCTACGAATCTATCTAATGTCAAAAGATTTTCTATAGAGTTACTAATAAATAATATTATTACATTTTAAATTAGCCGGTTCACAATCATGAATGAACATCTACAGATATTTTTTGTTACTATTTTTCATATTACTTAATTGAAATAATTTTTAAAATTTTTTCTGGTATTTTTAGATTAACAGAGCCCATTATTGATTTAATTGAATGGACAGAAAAGCCTCCTTTGTATGCACAAATTCGTTTAAGCTTGACTTAAACATAGGAATACTGGTTCAAATGATTATCATATGGTAATAAACTTTATGCTTGCTCATTTAATTGAAGAATCAAATGAATGATTTTGATTTTTGAATGAGTTTGCCATTCTACAGAAGAATCAACTTATTACTTAAACATGCAGAAACTTTTGAATTGTTTTTTTGAGTTTCCTGCAAAATTTCATATTTTAAATAAATTGCATTTTCAAATTTCATGTTTATTTTTCAGATATCTTTTTAGATATACATCTCAAATTCCTTGAGTTAGGCTAAATGAATCGCTTATCTTACCCAGCTAGCACACTTACGTTGTTAAAACATTAAAACAATGTCGCGCGTTTCGTTGGCCCAACATCGGCTGCCAACGTTTTTTTTATATAATTATGGTTACAAATGCAACGTCGCCAACAACTAAAAACCAATGTTGATAAAATGTTTCTTTAAAGTCGGAAAATGGTACGTTGATTCAATGTTTTATTTTATACGTTGGCCCAACGTAGTATTTTAAGTTGACATAACGTGGTATTTACGTTGATTAAACATTGGATTTTAATTAGCAAAACGTTGTATTCAATATTATTCGGAATTAAATTTTCATTAAATTCTATTTTCTTTATATATATATATATATATATATATATATATATATATATATATATATATATATATATATATATATATATATATATATATATATATATATATATATAGGTATTGTGGTTTATCCTCCTTCAGCTAATTGCCATACGGAGGCCACATTACCAAGGACCGCAAAAACAAGTTCAGCTAATAAATAGCGTCATTACCTGCCAAAAACAAGTTCAGCTAATAAATAGCGTCATTTACCATTACCATTGGCTTAAGTCAATTAATGTATGTAAATAGCCAACGTAAACATTGAATATATTTATAGTGTTGATAGCACTTTGATGTTGTTAGCACATTGTTGATAGCACATCATTGAAACAAAAATCATTGTTGATAGCACATCATTGAAACAAAAATCATTTTTGTGTTAATTGTTGTTTGATATTTTAATAATCACGGAAGATTTTACTTTGTAATTATTTTATTAAGTTGTATGATTTCGCTATAGCAATGTTTGGTCGCATACATTAGATCAACGTTGGGTTTAGATCGTAAAATCAATCAACTTTTTGCGATGTTTTTACATACATTGAAAAAACGTTGATTTATATACATTGAATCAATGTCGAGATATATACATTGGATCGACGTTGGGTTAAGATCGTAAAAACAATCAAATTTTTTGATGTTTTTACATACATTGGAAAAACGTTGATTCATATACATTGAATCAAAGTCGAGATATATACATTGGATCAACGTTGGGTTTAGATCGTAAAAACAATCAACTTTTTGCGATGTTTTTACATACATTAGACCAATGTAATTTTGCCAGATGTTTTTAGTTCCATCAGTAATGATTTTATTACTGACGGGACTAAAAACATCTGGCAAAAAACCCCACACCATGATGCTACCACCACCATGCTTTACAGTTCCCTGCAAACATTCCGTTTTATATGATTCATTTTGACGACGCCAAACAAAAATACGTCGAGAATCATTACCAGCTAAATTAAATTTGGACTCATCAGACCACAACACCGTTTGCCAATCAGTTACACTAAAATGCAAAAATTCGTGCGCAAATTTGAAACGCTTCTGCTGATTAATTTTGGAGATAAAAGGCTTTTAATAGCAACACGACCATTCAAACCTTATTTATTAAAACGACGACGAACAGATTTTAGAGATATTAAAGGTCTACCAACATCATGCCACTGTCGAGACAAAACTTTGAAAGAAAGGCGACAATTTGTTATGGCCAGGCGTTTTAAGGTTCTATCTTGACGTAAAGTTGACATTCTAGGACGGCCACATCTGGGTTTGTCCGTGAATGTATTTGATTCCAAATGTTTCTTATATGCATTTTGCACAGCATGGCGACTTTTTTCCAATTTTTTGGCTATATCATTTAGGCTTAAGCTACTAATTTCCTTTAAAGCCACCACCTGGGCCCGAACAGTTGAATCAAGGCTTTTAGCTTTGCCCATTTCAGAAAATATTTTCACTTAAACTCTAAAATAAAAGCGAAAATAACATTAAATACATTATCTAACTAGTGTACACATTCCAAAAAGTAGCATAAATAACAACTGCATTAACCAAAACACTAATACCAATACATCATAAAGTTACCAAAATATGTTAAAATGTTCAAAAATTGGCTATAATATTAAAGAACTCATGAAAATCAATATTTATATTTGGTTTAATACACAATTATTCATGAAATCAATAGATTTGTACCTTGTCAAATTACTATATGCATTGTTATGCTTATAATGTTGACCTCACCATACTTATGCCGCAAAATGATATATATATATATATATATATATATATATATATATATATATATATATATATATATATATATATATATATATGTATATATATATATATATATATATATATATATATATATATATATATATATATATATATATATATATATATATATATATATATATATATATATATATATATATATATATATAGTGCTTTTTAAAAGTTAAAAATGCTGCAATAGACCTTTCCCACAAACTGTCAAATGCGCAATGCATTGTGGTAGTTGCATAAATTTAAATCAAAACAATCCGAATAAAAACATTTTTTGAAGTAGGTATTGCTACAGTAAAAGGGTTCTTTTACTGTTAATTTAGAAAACTTGAAGTTAGTTCTTCTCCAAGCTGTTTTCCGAAGCAAACTCTGAAGCAATTTTGTTATATATATATATATATATATATATATATATATATATATATATATATATATATATATATATATATATATATATATATATATATATATATATATATATATATATATATATATATATATATATATATATAAATGTAAATAAAAACTGTGAAAAAAATTTATTTGTATGTATTTTTTTTATGTATTTTTCATTTTTATACGATAGTGATTTAAACCCTTTTTAGAGAACACGAGACAGAACTTTAGGAGACACCATATGATAAGATTTTCCAGCTTATGTTTTCTCCGCAATTTTTTCATTTAAAACTAAGGTATCAGATAATCATTTTCCTGACGTACTTAACACAATCAATGACTCAAATTTTTCAAAAAAAAACGGAATTGAAACGAGACAATGGTAACTGCGCAGCATTAGGAATTAATTTTTTTCCAAGAGTTTTTAAATGGTTACTATTTGACCTTTTCCTGGCCCTAATTTTAATATAGCCATTGTGTTTATAAAATTTTTAAAGTAAATGTTAATTGTTTTAAAATGTAAGATATCAAAGTTTAAATGAATGCAAAATGGGGGTATATTGTAATAATATATAAATAATGCGCTCGTAAAAAGTTATTATTATAAACCTATTGATAAATAAAAAAAATTGTTATACGTTTTTCATATAGTAACATTCTATAGCCTTTTTTTAGTATATTCTCTTGATATTTACATGAAATGAATTATTTCATTATAGATTTACGCAAAAAAGTTATAAAAACAATAAAAATATTTAATCCATGAATGGTATCTAGGTGACAAGGTTAACAGTAATAAAAAAAATTAAAAAGATAAACTGTTTAATAATCGATACAGCAGAAGAAACAAAAACATTTCTATAACTTTATGTTTTCAGGAAAAATTATTTAATGTAATTTGAGTATCTTCAAATTTAAGAATAAGAAATATTTATTAAAAAAACTTCAATTTTAAAGTTTCTTCATTGATAGTGTGACCACGTGTTTTATTGCAATTTTAAAGGTGAAATTTGTTATTTTATTTGTTTCAATTATTTGTTTAAATTTAAAAATATAGCATCAAAAAATAAATTCAATAAAAAACTTAAAAAAATAGCTGTCCGGACCATATTATGTCAAGATCCAAAAAATACCATGGAATATTTGGGACTTGGTAAGTTAACTCCCCCTTTTTCCTTCCGTGCTTTTTTGTTTCGAAAAATGAGTCTAAATTTAGGATTTTTCTTCTTTGAGAAAGAAAATTATCTCTTTATTGCGTTAGATACGCAGATTTACTTAACTGGTTATGCAAACAATCAGCAAAATTATCTCTAACATAGGTGATAATTGCGTGGCGTTTCCCCCGGGTTATCTTTTTAAAATTTAAGGCCATAAAATTTCAATCCTTTCATCAAGACTATATTTATTCAAAAAGCAAATGAGAACTCTGAAAACGCGTCACAAAAGGTAGTTGTGCAAAAAAAACATTTCAATAAACTCATAACAAAGTCTTTTTTAATAGATAATAAGTTGTCTTTATTACCTGTCTTTGCGGATTATTACATTATAAATTTTACATAAATTTTAGCGAGTAGAACAATCAAAGAGAGGGTAGGGGGGGGGGGAGTGGATTTTAAGAGTTAATAACTATATCGTTATTAACTTTTATAGAAGAGTCATTTTTTTTAATTACTTAATTTAAAGCTTTGAGCGGTAAAAGCCATCAAAGTTTTAAATTCTCTGCTTGGAGACGAAAATAATTTTACTTTTGTTTTTTAATCTTGCCGATTTTTTTAAAATACAAAAATATACATAAAAAAATTCAAAACAGTTAAATTTAAAAGTCTTTTGATTTTTAGAAAAGTTTTAAAAGTTTTCTCATATCATAAATACATATATATTATAAATACATATTATAAATACATTACCTAGCTAGCACACTTACATTGGGCCAACGTATGTCAAACCATCGCGAACGTCTGCTCTTTTTTCAAATGCAAAACCAACGTTGATCCAATGTAATTTGGTTAATGATAAAATTTAATTCCGAATAATATTGAATACAACGTTTTGCTAATTAAAGTTCAACGTTGATTCAACGTAAATACAACGTTGTGCCAACTTAAAATACAATGTCGGGCCAACGTATAAAATAAAACGTTGAATCAACGTAGAAAATATCATTTTCCGACTTTGAATAAACGTTTTATCAACATTGGTTTTTAGTTGTTGGCGACGTCGCATTTGTAACCATAATGAATATAAAAAATAAATATAAAAACAATGTTGGCAGCCGATGTTGGGCCAACGAAACGCGTGACATTGTTTTAATGTTTTAACAACGTATGTGTGCTAGCTGGGTTATCCTTAAATATGCAATCCACAAAATAAAATTATCTACTGTCAGTATTAGTGACGTTTACACAAACAACAGTTTGTACATAAAGTTATATAAGCAGATCTTTTTAAATTTAAATATTGCTTTTTACATTTTCATGTATGTCGAAATTATAATTGCAATTTTTAGCAAAAAATATTTTATTGTGTAAAATAACAATTTATAACAACGGTTTTCTTCTGTACTTTCTAACTTGCATTATAGATGGTTGCTCACTAAAACTATTATATTTGTAAAAAAAGTAAAAGTTGCAAATAGAATCACTAAGTTTTAAGATACGAAGTTTTATTGATGGTCAAATAAACCTCAGTTATTAGCCTACAATATTGATGGTCAAATATACCTCAGTTATAAGCCTACAATATTGATGGTCAAATAAAACTCAATTATAAGCCTACAATATTGATAACATATTAATAACATATACATATACACATATATAGACGTACATTAATACATAAAATCATAAATAATCATAAATAATCTAAAATTGAACATGTTAAACAATTCGTTGATTAAAAGAAATAATATTTAAAATTATATTATCCATAAAAATGGTCCGCGAAATGAAACAAAAGACCGGAATTAGTTTAATAAAAATTGCTTTAATTTTCATAAAAATGTTACGGGGTTAAATACGGTTTTTACATTTGCTAAAAACATTTAGCTTGTATACATTGAGAATTTTTAATTTATTTAAAATCAACTTGGCGGTCCTTTAAATTTATAAAGCGCACAACATGCTTCTGTTGCTGATAAAGAGGTTTAAGTTTAGTTTTTTTTTTAGTGCGACCCAAAGCAACTTTTGGAATACTAATGTGGGTATTTATTAACAAGTAATATATTTGAATCATGATAAGTTTTTTAAGAAAGCATTTTGTTTAAAATACCTAAACTTTTGTCGCACAAGGCAGCAATGTGGTTTTTTCATGTTAGATTTCCATCACCCTAAAAACCTGAAAATCCGGTCACTAAAACTCTTTTAACAAACGTATGGTCGATAAAAAGAAAAGATAAGTTATTAGGCAACTGGTGCTTTTTATCATAAAGATGGAAATTAATCTATTTAATAAATTTTTTTTCAATTTAAATCATTTGGAAGTTGCGAAAAAGCGTCACAATGTTATAATGAAAAATGTGCAAAGATTTATAACGTTTTCTTTTTGTAAACACTCTTAGCAAATAAATTTCTTAGTAAACTGATTTCGTTATCCATAAACTCTTTAGTGCAAATAAATTAAGCTCTACGGATAAATCCTTTTAGAATGTTTTCTAAGATTTTGGATTTTAATTCTAGTTGCGTTTTACCAAAATGTTTGTCGAAGCTTTTTTATATATATGGCTAGGTTTTTAAAACCTCGTTTCACAAATATTTTAAAAAGTGTGGATAAAAAATTAATCCTTGCCACAAAAGTTATTAATCTAATTCATAATATTGATTAATCAATTTCTAATCTTGAACTCAAATATATTTTTAAATTAAAAAATTACGTTTGTTGTTGTTAAGGGAAAGAAACTTTTTTTATTAATCAGTTTTTGTTGATTTGAAGTTTTATTTTAAAAATAAAAAAGATCTTTTCCAATTTAGAAAACACGTTGTCCTTATAAAAATAAAAGTAGTTACCAGTATTATAATGCTATTATTACAAAAGTAATAGCATTATAATACTGGCAACTAGTTACCAATGTCTAATGCTAGTACTACAAAAGTAGTACAAGCATTAAACATTGATGTTGAACTTACATTATTTAAATTAGTTCTGTTATCAAAATTTTCTGAAATGATATTTTATATATATATATATATATATATATATATATATATATATATATATATATATATATATATATATATATATATATATATATATATATATATATATATATATATGTTCTCCAAACGGCATGTACGGCAAACAACAACTTTTTCATAAATTTCACATTAAATGAATGGAGTACTACAAGAATGAATGGAGTTATGACAGTTAACAAAACTTTAAACTACAGTTATTTAGAAAACAATTTTTTTGATTTTTTAAAAATTGTTTTAGTTGTCTTTTTTATCAAATGTCGTGTTATGACTTGAAGCAAGAAAGAAGCAAGAAGCTTAAACTAACATATGCTTCTAAAATCAAGTGGTTCTATTTAATTACCGAGTTTTAATAACCCTTTTGATTGTATATATATATACAATGAAATTTGTCTTTTGGATTTGTATTTTGATTTCTGAAATGATGGTGTCGAGAAAAGGTGTAATCAAGGCCCATTTATGATATTCATGAGGACTCTCTGCAGGTATGTTATTTATGTAGGCCTATCTCATAGTGATTCTGGGAATCGTTGGTTCTACAAATAACTTTCTTGCCATACGAATAGCTTGTTGGTAAATTGCGTAAGTTTCTTATTCAGCATTTTTCCGTAGAGGGTTAGGGTTCTTCTAGTTGTCAATTGTTTCTTGAATGTTCTTGTATGCATACACAATATCAGTTGTGCGCCCTTGTAACCTCTCTGTTATATACGACAACGGGTGAAGTAAGTGGTACAAAATTATAATACCAATTGTGAATTCAAACTTAGTGAGTGCATTAAGGAGGGAGTTGGCCTTTCTTTTTCCTTGTGCGTCCCAATGCATATTAAACTCTAAATTGAACTCTACTTTATTAGAGTGTATTCTTAAAAAAATCTCTAATGCCTCTGCCATAAATGGCATAGCTAAATAAAAATGTTCACATGCAACATCTCTTTCTGGCCATCTTGTTTTGCACATCCCTATCAAAATCTTTTTTCTTTCAGTTGATTTACAACGGATCTCTGCAATATGTTCTAGCAAGCGCTCTCTTTTCGGAGAGGTATTGCAACAGATGAATATATTTCTGCATACCTCCTAAATTTATCAATTATAGGTATTTTTGATGTTGCAGCAATTGATAAATTCAAGTTATGTGAGCTATAATGTGTTACAATTGTTTTTGGTTATCCTTTTAAAATATAGCTGGCAACACCTTTTTTTACAGATTGCATGTTTTGTGCGCCATCGTATCACTGGCCTCTACAAGAACTAAGATCAATTCCACTTTTGCTACAAAATTTCAGCAAGCTTTCCCCAATATGTTTGCCTGTTATCCTGTCAAGATTCAAAAAGTAAAGATATACTTCTCCTATTTATTTTTCTCCGTTTACGTATTTCATACATGCTGATAGAATTTATTGGTTTGCAGTTGTCACCTCTGAAATTGAATGGTAATTTGCAGCTTTGACTTCATTAATTAGTCGCTCTTGTAAACATTTCTTTCCAATTATATCAATTAATTCATTTTGACTCTTGGGGCCAAGGTACATTTACATTGCACAATTTGTTGTCGTTTTTTGGGTACTTTTGTTGTCGCTTTTTAAAAGTGCTATTGCTTTGTAATTTTTTCAACCACAAATGCCATTAGCTCGTTCGATAGCTTCTTTATGGTATCTATTGCCTATATATAGTTTTTGTTTCTCTAAAATATTGTGCCATTCCTTATATCCGCTGTTAACAAAAGCTCCCAAAGATTTTTTTTATCCTGCTTTAGAAATAAAGTGCAGTATATGCAGTAGACTGCGTCTTCACTTTTGCTGTAGACAAATCTATTTTGTAAATATTCTTCTTTACAAGCGCTTTAGCAACCGTGTTTTTATGTTTTTGGAAATTGAAAATGTATCTTCTGATTTAAGTTTTCAGTATATCTATTTCGTAAACATTTTGTATGTTTCATGCGGTAGTAACTCTTGATTTCCGCGCAAGAGTTTGTTAATATCGTTTTTCTTCCTTTTTTAAATCACATTCTTTTAAATTTGTTTGGTCTACTTCGCATGACAAGCTTTTGTTAGCATTATTATCATCTTTAATAACTTCATTTTTTTCTTCTATTTCGGGTTATGTTTTATTGCTTACATTTTGAGTACTGTCGACAATAAAAAAATACTTGGATCGTAAGTAATTAATATTAAACTTTCAGATCTTAAACTATACCAAAATTAAAAAAACTCGCGTAAACATTACAATAAAAAACAAGTAATAACAAAAGTACTATCATAAAAAAGTTTAACATATAGATAATATCTATGTCTAGTTAATATCTATATCTAGTTAATATCAAACTAATCAAACTAATTATTATAAAAAGAAGATTAAATTAACTTTTTTACTTAAAATATCCAGCTAACGATTTGCAATTCTTTGCAGCATTTTGAAGCTCTTTTCTATCAGCTGCTCGTTTCCTAATTTGGTTAGGCATGTTAACTCTACCGTTTGCGATTAAAAAGTTAATTTGGTTAGACATGTTAACTCTATCGTTTGCGATTAAAAAGTGAATTAGTAGATAATT